CTATGTGAATTATGAAACATTCCGAAATTAGTTAAATTGGAGAAGCATTATTTTAATTCAAAGATAAAATCTAAATATGAGAAGAACTGACCTTCTTAAAGGTGTCTGCAAGTTATCATGAACTCGTATAATTTAATTTTGATAGAAAGAGGCTCCATGTATTATATTTTTAAATGCCGTGACATACCTCAAGATGATACTTTTTGTTGTTATTTTCTCTTATTCTTTAATTAATGATTGTCCTTGATACCAGTTTGTGGGCTAAAATGGTTATATAAAACATTTTTTTATAAATAGATGAATAACCACTTTGTTTTATGGTACTTAATTCTGAGACTTTTTCTGGATTTCTCTGATAGTAAATTTCCATTTGCTTTAAGACTGAATGGTGTGCAGTTGAGTTCATGGTTCTCCACCATGTTCTCCTGAATCAATAGTCTTCACAATTAAGTTGTATCCCAATGAGGGAGGGAACACTTGTCATTCTCTAGTCTCACCAGGTGATGGTAACATCCTTCAAAATTATAATCTGATTTTTAGGCATCAGAACCAATAGGAAAAATGACTGATTTGAGCTTTATTCATAGAAATGAAGTAGTGCTTGCACGTGTATACTCTAATGCACTTTATGATCTAAATGTTCTTTTATGCTATTATCTTCTGCATGCAAACTTGACATACATCTGCATGAATATCAGCAAAGTCCACTGAACACAGTGCCACCAGCACTTGCAGAGCCTTATCAGAAATAATGCTTTCTCATAATTGTTTATAACAAGCATAAACAATGCCCACAAAGGAGCTATCAAGTTCACCAAACAAGACAGCACATCTGTTCTATCTTCTTAATATCATAAAAGAACATTCGTGACATGTTTGTAAGTTGTAAATAATAACTCATTATCATATGTATCTAAGACTTTAGAGACCAATTCTTTTCTAGAGTGAAACTTTATTAATGGTTTCTGAGAAAACTGAACTCTTTGGCTTTTAAATACAGGAAAATGTTACATAGGGGTATAATCTGTTAATATAAGCTTTATTTATGCCAAGGATTTTTTTTTAATATTTGGAAAATAATGGAAATTGGTTAGACCAATTTGCTCTTGCAGAAATGCTGTTTATCAGCTTCTGAACACCTTTCTAACTCTATGATCCTCAAGAGTGTGTTGTTGACAGGATGAAGTTTTGTAAAATTAAAGCACCACTGATGTTGTGCCTAGTGTCTGGAGGAAGCAAAATAAACTAGATCAGTGGTTTAAAAGACTTTTTTTTACCCAAGAAACCCTTTTTTCAAATGAATTGTTTCATAGAGAAGCTCAACATTTAAGGGAGAAACTCCAAACAAAGCTGCTCTGGTTAAAGACCCCTAAGCACTTTTCCCCAGGCACCCCGGCAGAGCTCAGGAGTACAGCATTGAAAACCTCAGAACTAGATTACTTTTTGAATTCTCTTTTGAGCATTACAATCTCACTTCATTACTCCTATTACTCACTGTACTTATAAGCTGGTGGTATCCATAGAGTCTCTTACAGCAGCAAACCACATCCTTATTTAATAGTAGTGTTCCTTCTGTAGTTATCATATCTTAAGACACTAAGAACACATTTTTCAATGTTGTATTTTTGAGTGATGACGTGAAAAATATAGTTATTGCTTTTTTGTGGCCAAGTTACTACTTAATGGATGAAAAAAGTTTCTTGTTTTACTTATGAACTCAGAGCTCAATTCATTAGTTATTTTGCCAAGATAACTAATGCTAAGATATATTAAAATTTCTACTCATATTGTTTATATATACATATTTTTTTTGTGTCCTAAAATTAATACCATGGAAAATCACTAAGAATAGGACAGCGTAAGAAGATGTGTTTAAATGGGAAGGGTGATGATAATAGGTACTGGAAGACCAAACGTTAGATTATAAAGGGAAAGTTCTATGTTATTTTATATTAGAGTGGATCAGTATTCCTATTTATCATTTCTATAGCATTTTATATTTACAAAGTATTTAATAATTTTTGTTACTCTTTACATATCTATGAAATAGGAGTTATACCAAATGAAAGATAATTGAGGCATAGAATAGTAAAGCAGCCTACCTAACACAACCCAGTGAAGTACAGGCAAAAATAGGAATTAAAATGATGCAATTTTCTGAATCCTGGAATATTAGCTTAATTCACTGAGGTATGTTGTGTATTACTCTATTTTACAAGGTGGCTTTATACAAATTACAATCAGTTGTTTAAAGCTGATGTCATTGCATGTGGATAAATCCTATACAGAATAAATATTATGTAGAGGATGTGACTTTAGTTATAAGAGTTTTAATGATAAAACTTGGGTTATCACAGAAATGGCACTGTTTAGCCAGCTGCTTTATACATTGTGAAGTATAATTAATATTTTATTTTGATACAGAAGTTTCTTAATTATTCATGCTAATGGAACCGTGAATATACCAGAAAAATGGAATCTACAAAGGATCTATAAACTTCATTTTCTAAAATGTCAGCCTTCTCTGTACAGAACTTGTATTAATACCAACAGAAAGTCAAGTAATTTAATATATAATAAACCACACAAAAGAGAAGCCAAGGGACTCAACTTTTGAAGGCAATATATTTTGAAATGTATACTTTCCCCATCCCTTTACTTTTGGGCTTGATGAGAACATTTGCAAACATTATTACATTGAATACAGCTTATAAAGTACATCTAGAATTTATTATACTTCATTTTGCAGATTTCTAAATACACAAATCCATTATATCATTTCTTGATTTTCCCATTGGGAAAATTTTTAATTTGTGTTGATATTATTTACAACTACTTAATTCCTTTGTTAAAGAGTAATTTGTTTTTATTCAGCCCATAAGGAGAAAAAATGGAACAACATTTCTGCGTAGACCATAGTTCTCAACTTTGGCTGCACATTAGAATCACTTATGGAATTTTAAACAATACAGATGCTTAGGGAAATTCAGACTCTCCAGCAGATGGATTCTGGGTGTAAGTATTTTCGAAATTTTCCCAGCAGTTTTTATGTGCAAAATAGGTGCCTTCTTTAAGATTTCCCTCTATCTTCCCTATACAGATGCTGGGGATGGGCAGTTGGGTCATTTGACCTTCTAGACCACTGGTTCTCAATCCTATTAAGGACAATTAAAGATACCCAGTCCAAGAAAATATTAATTTTGTGGAATTTCAAGATACTATATATGTTCCCTTAACTACAGTTTTTGGTAGGGACAAATAATTTGAAAAATAAATTAGTAGGTAGTCTTAAAATAGCGATTTTTACTTTTAGATGCATTTGTATTATATTTGATTATGGGTATTGCATTCTGGGAATTCACATAGTACTTCAGACTAATAAAAGAACTATATTAGGAATATGTGACTGAAATACTATATCCTTAAATTTCACAAGCTTTAATGTTTTCTTTGCTCGGAACCAGAAATCTCTCCAAGCACCATGAAACTTAATTGCTACATACTAGAATTCCATCAATGAATTAAATTATTTTTTATTAAAGTTAAACGTTGCACTAGAGAAATAGTACTCAACTAAGATGTATTACCTAAAGGAGACCTCGGACAAATTTGGAAACAAAAATTTCTTAGCTTCACGTATTGCCATTAAAATTTTTTAAAAAAACTTGAAACGACTTTTGAGTAGAGTACCATCCTCATGCCAAACGTTTAAGGTTATGTTTGCAATTCCAACACAAGTATATCCCTTCAGCAGTATTGTATATACAGATACTCTCTTGCTTAGTCTCTTACAGATAAACAACAACAAAAACGCATCCAATGATGAAGTGGCACTTTATGCATCATTCAAAATGGTTAAATGCTGAAATAAAATAGAAACTGTAGTTTGTTTTGTATTTGAGCTGACAAAACTTTTCTCCTGGAGGAAAAAAATCTACGAGGAACACAGCAGTGGAAAACGGTGCCTATAAATTGGCACCAGATGCTCCAGTATTTTGGGGCCACAGTAAAACATGAAAGCCCAAGTGTTTTCTCCCCTAATCGGCAAGACATTTATTCCGCTCAGGCAGGTGATCGCGTAGCTTTATGTCTTATTTTCAGGAAAGACTAGACCTGCAGCTAGGCCTATGGAGAGGCCCCAACCTGCCAGGCACCAAAGCTAGAGTCGGTGGCAGTGGGTGGAGAGTAGGGATTTGAATAGAAATATCCTGTAGTGCAATAGTGGGCGCCCAATATGGAGTCTACATTTGCCGAGGACCTACTAGATCCCAGGACTCTGAGGTAGGCACTGACACCCTCCCTATTTAGAGACAAACAGACGAGAATACACCCAAAGCCACCGACGACTCCAAGGGCTGCGGGGATTCGAGCTCACGCAGGAAATGCCTACGGGTGCCTAAAACCATCGCCTTACTGCCGGGAGAACTAGTCTATATTATCCCTACTCGGTTACGATATTGTGGTCTTGTGCAAGAAACTGCCCCACTACCCTGGGTGTCCTCCAAGTCGCTTGTGGACCCCTGCACCCCCACCCCCCAACACACCGTGGAGTCTGGCTGAGCCAATAGGAGCCGGGGAAAGGCACGTGGCAGGCAGGGCGAAGCCTGGGCCGGCAGGCGGAGAACAACTCCCGCTCAGGGAACAGATTCCGATTACACTGGGGCACCTCAGTGATGTTCTCGTTTACCCAGAATGCCTTTTTTCCCCTCTCCTTCCCTCTTTCTTTTTGAGGGAGTCATAACTTTTTTTTCCCCCATAACTCAAGAAAAACACTGAACGACAAATTTTAATCCTGACAGCCACGTGAGGTTGGTACTATTACGGCAGATGTAACTGAGGCTTTGACTGGTGATAAGACTTGGTCAAGATCAGAGAGGAAGTTTCAGGAAGGAAACGGGGCAGAGGCTTTGGCTCCTATCTTTATCTTATATTTATATATAGATGCTCAACTCCCATATGTTAGAAAGAAAACTCAACACAAGAAGGACCTGGAGTAGAGAAGCAGGAGAGGAAGAAGCAGAAAGGAGTGGCTTTGTTTACTCTTAATGAACAGACTCTAGCAGAATGGCACTGGCTATCAAGGTTGTCTCTAGGCTGGACACCCCCCCTAACCAACCACTGTGGTCTTTTTAAAAACTAAGGAGAAAAGTAAGGGGGCTGTTAGCATTTATGCTTGCCCCAATAATACTAGCCCTCATTTACTGAGCATTTATGTGTCAGAACTATCCTAACAGCTTTATGTGTATACATTTATTTAACCCTCTCAACAACCCTGCAAGTATAGCCATCACCCCTTAAAATGAGGAAATTAAGGCACAACGAGGTTAAGCAACATGCCCAAAGTGGGCAGTTAGTAAGTGGTAGAACCAGGACTTGAACCCTAGTGATCTGGCTCGTTTGTGCTATTAATCACTACCCCCCCAAAATAAAAATGTTACCACAGTAGTGTTTAAATTCCACAGCTCCAAGTATAATTCCAAGATGACTCCCTTTCTCTTCATTTACTCAATAAGATTCTTAACTATCCTGGGAAGGCTGGGGAAACGTGTATGCCAACTATATTTTATAAAGGGTAACATACTCATTTCCCTTTTATTCGATATCTTCATTTTGGCTTATTTTAAAACTAACAAACTGATTTTTTAAATTTACAAGAAACAATTTGTATTGCATAATTACATCTGACTTGTTTTTACTGAACCCCATTATATGGCACTGGTGGTAAGAGATGTGGTTATGCTTTTTTCTCCTAGTCAAGTTTATACCTACTTGGCTTAATACACCCCAAGAGCTCTTCTTATTCTAGACTTGGTTCTTCCATTGCCTTAATGGTATCCCCTTGTTCATTTTTACAACCACCCCCACCCCGTCATGATCTGCAAAGGGGTCCATGAAAAAGAAAGTGTCCATCTCAGCCTAGAAATTCATCCTAACGAAAGGTAAATTGGTTCTTCTAGACATTTTTTTGCTCAGAGGGCCACAATTCAAATTTGAAAATGTGCCTGAGATTAAAGAAGGGCAAGAAGCACTAACCCAGTGATCCTGCTATGTATTCATTTATTTGAAGAGCTACTATTCAAACCACATGCTCTTGGCCTAGTCTTCATCACCTCTACTTTCTGTTAAATACTCAGAGAAAAAGAATGTAGTGCTCAGAGAAAACACTGAGAAAGCTCACTATCTCCTCCTTTTAGGTCAAGTTTGGCCTACTATAATGATATTTGGCACCACCCAGTGGCAATCTTGTATTTGTGAATAAATAGCAACCTTGCACTCTTGCATCACAAGAAAGAATACCTCAATTAAAAGAGTAAAATAATGATGCAAGTCACCTAAAGCAGTTTCATTTCTTAAAAGTTATCTACTTTAAAAAGTTCAGATCTTTTGAAAGTTGTTTTCCTGGCCTCTTCTGTATCCTTAGTAATGAAGAGCTTAGGCAATTTTTCAAAACAGAAGAAATTTTAAGAATTCCCCTTTTCCTCTCTAATTGTATAAATATACTGGCTTTAATATAAAATACATGTTAGAAGGAAGGGCCCATTAGTAAGGGCATCAAATTTTTCTTACAGGAAAACAGGAAAGTTGTCAATATATCAGTGCTTTAAAAAAAGTGAGATAGAAAATGAGGGCTCTTTGTAGAGAAGTCTTCAAATTGTTTAACTATAATTATTTCTTCTGAGAAAACCAACTGGAATACAGGATGGCTGTGTTCCACAACAATCTAAAATACAATCTCTCTTAAGGTACATGTAGAAACATAGGTCTTACTTCGGAGGAAAAGCAAAATCCTGATTGTAGGATTTCTCAAATTGTAATTATTTTTCCAAACTGTATCCGAGAGCACAGAGTCTTCAGAGTCTCTCATACTGCTGCTAACACCAATGATCCCTTTTGGGACCAGGCTGGAGGGCTGACCTTCCACTGGCAGGGTGTGAAGTACCTGCTGTTACGGCAGGAATTAACCAATGAAGAACCATACTTGCCACCTGAAGAACTCTTTAACGTTACAATATTTGGTTAACATAGACCAAGGATGTGCCTTGATCTTCCATTTCTAAAAGTTACACTTTAAAAATTTCTTTTCTGCAAATCTCCATATATCGTCAGATACTATAGAATTTATATCATGGTATCTTCTAATATGGAAGAGAAAAAACAGTTCTTCACAAATCTTTTTGGGGGGGAGTATCTTAAATGTCGATGATCACAAAAACTTCTGGCTTCTCCTCATTATAGACCTGCATTGCTGAGTATGTTATTGCCTTGACTTCAGTTCCCTAAAGTTGGGGTTAGAGAAAAAACAAATAGGAGAAAAAGGACATTGAAATCAGAATCATTAACTCTAGCAACAACTGGTAGAAAGTCAAAATTGTAATATTATTCTGAAAAACTAAAAACTCACATAAAAAAATTACTTATCAAATCAGTATAGTATTATACACTGATCCAGTAAAAACAACATGTGCTCAATAGAAAGAGAACTTGAGCTGGAGTTGAGATGGAACTCTAATCCTGGCTTTGTTTCCACCTGGATATGGAAGCTATCTGACCTCTCCAGGCATCAGCTTTTTCATTTATTAAATAGGTTGAATCAAAGAACATAAAGCTTTCCTACTGTTTGCTGGAGGCTCCTTCTGGACTTCCTCCCTGCAGTCTAACCTGGGCCCTAGGAACTCAGCCTACTCTCTAGTCAGTTGCCAATATTCACTTTGCCTCATGGGGTTCTTCTCTCTTCACATGTTTCTGACATATGACACCCCCCCCTACCCTGCCCCAGTTTAGAGCCATAGAATTTGATGTTCTCTTAGTTCCTTCTAGCTCTAGAAAAGAATCTGGGGGGCGGGGGGGGGGCGGAATCTAGAAAAGAATCCACAGAATGTATCAGAGAATAGGTGACTGGCATTTGCCAGCTCTGTAAGCACGAAAGAAATCTGAAGATCTCACAGACGGATTTGAATGGCAGCTGCCTTTGTTTTTTCTCTTCTGCTGTAATCTGGAGAAACCACAACCTAAATCAAACTCAACTTTCTGCCTGTGGCAGCACAAAGCCTGCTAAGGGAGACTCGGGAGAAAGAAGCATAAAACAAAGAAAAATCAGTTGAGGGGAAGGGTATGAGGATTGAAAACAAGTTATTTTTATAGTATACATGACACAGTGGAACTCTTTTGAACATACTATGTTTGAGATGCCTATGAGACATCCAAATGGAGATGTCAGATAATAGGCATTTGTCTACAGGATGACTTGTTCAGGCAATAGATGTGTCTAGAAATACAAATTTGGGAGTTATCACTGAATAGATATTTATAGCTATAGGACTAGATAAGATTACCAAGGAAGGAGGGTAGATAAGAGAGAGTAGGAGAGAGGACTGAGCCTCAGAGCACTAAGTTTGAAAGAGAAGGAGCCAAAAAGGTAGAGAGAGGACAGCCTAGTGAGAGGGAGCAAGAGAAGAGGGATGCCCTAGAAGCCAGATAGCTAATGCTCTTAAGGCTGCTCAGAGGTTGAGTAAGGTAAGGACTGAGAATTGACTGCAGATTTGCTAATCAGCGGAATAATGCATATAATATTTGGGGTGCGTCAAAGGGAATAAGAGGTGAGAAAGTAGAGGCAGTATATTGAGACAATTCTTTTGAAGAGTTTGTAGAAAAGGAGAATATATGGATAGAACAGTAATAACTAGAGGGGGGATGTGGCTAGTAAGGAGGTTTATGTTTTGTCTTGTTTTACCTAGCAGGTTTTGTGGCACCATTGTATACTAAGTGGAAATGATCTAAGAAGTTGGGAACAATTAATCATGCTGGAGAGGGAGAGAATTTCAGAGCAAAGACCTTAAGTTGGTAAGGGCTGTGTGCAGGATAGAGCATTGAAGGAGAGAAGACTGCCTTCTGACAGGATCAGGGACTGGCCCGTCATTAATACAGGAGGAAAGGCTATAACGTGAGTATAGATACAATAAGATGGTAGATTTGATGTGAGGGAAGATGAGTCAGTTCTTATGGATTGCTTCTGTTTTCTCTAGAAAGCAAGGTTGATTAAGAGTGAGAATGAGGGAGGAAGGCTTAGAGGTGAGGGTAAAATAATTGCCTCAGAGAATGAGAAAGTGAATTTAGTGTTAAATGCAAGATTACTCGTCAGTGCTGAGTACTCTTTTCAGATTTGTGGACAGACGTTTAAGGTGATACCGGTTAGTGGGTGGAAGCATCTCCATTTGGATGCCTGACAGGCATCTCAAACACAGTATGTTCAAAAGGAAATTCCAGTGTGTCATGAGTACTATAAAGATAACTTGTTTTCAATCCACACGCCCTTCCCCGCAACTGATATTTGTTTTATGCTTCTTTCTTCTAAGTCTCCCTTACCAGGCTTTATTCCATTATATCGTGGTTGAAGAAATTATATTAAATGCAATTATTGGAAGTAACCAGGATTTCCTGGTCACCTCCAACTAAGTTAGGTCTCCTTGACCTTTCACAGGGGTCAGCAAACTACAAATCACAGACCAAATCCAGCTTGCCCCCCGTTTTTTGTACAGCCCCACCAACTAAGAATGGTTTTTACATTTCTAAATGTTTGAAAAAAAAAGAAATCAAAATAATAATATTTCATGACATTTAAAAATGATATGAAATTCGAATTTCAGTGCCCATAAAGTTTTTCTGGAACACAGCCACATTCATTCATTCATGTCATGTCTGTGGCAGCTGGAGCGTTACAA